AGCAATTATTTGAAAAAGTAATTGTAATATTTATAATAAATGTATTTAAATATGTATACATTGTGTGTATATAAACAATAATATAAATACTAAATATTATATAAAATATAAATACATATAAAAGTTTTTTTCATTTAGACTTTTTAATATAATAATACATATTATAATTATTTTATAATAGTTGATATATAATATTTATAATAAATACTTTATAAAAATGTATAACATATTTTACTTGATTTTTATTGCATTTTTTAAAATATTTTATTAAAAAAATGTAATTCCAAAATAGTTTATTCTATTTTTTGTCATATCACAAAGGCTTGGATAAAGATGAAGCATGTATTTTTTCAATGTTATAATACTTTATCTGTAAAGTATTTGACATAACTTCCTGCACACTGTGTTTTAGATGGTTTATGTAGCCGTAGTAGTAGTAGTAGTAGCCGTAGTAAAAAATAAATAAATAAATAAAAAGTGGTAGTAAACAAATCACTTGCAAATCACTTCGTGGGTGCAAATATCGCGTGTGTTTATGTTTTCAACAATCTGACTATGCAATACAAATCCATTCCTTAGGTTTGTGTTCTGTGGTCATGCATATTAATTCAGAGTCTGTTCTTTTTCTCAGAGTTTCCTCAGTAGAAGACTGAAGGGGTCCATTAAAAGGGCCAAGAGTCAGCCCAAACTGGACCGAACCAGCAGCTTCCGCCACATGATCCTCCCTCGTTTCCGCAGCGCCGACCAAGAACGGTACCGTCCCATAACTCTTCCTCCCATAACCGCATGCAGAAACAGTACTGTGTCTTGATATTCCACTTCAAAGCCTCTTCGCTGTGAATGAGTACAGTTCACCCAAAAATGAAAATGATGTCATCATTTACTCACCCTCAACTTGTTCCATACCTGTATGAGCTCCTTTCTTCTGTTGAACAAAAAACGATATTTGTTGGTGTAGGAAACTTTTTCCTCGTCGAAGCAGAGACCAGGAGACTCTTGGGTATCTTCAGCAGAGTTCTTTATTGAGAACGCGCTGCGTGGCGCTGCAGTCATCAAAAGTCTGACTAAGGCAGTAATACATTGTAGTTTATATACATTTTAAGGGGGCGGGATACATTCAGTAGAGGTGGAGACAATCTAACCCATAGCATGCAAATGAAGTACAGGCAATCAGCCCGACACCGGCATTTTCCCAGCCTTGATCTCATCTGCATAACAGTGTCATTCAAATGCATAGGTGCTAATCCAATCAGTCTGACAGTCCTAATTCAATCAGTATAACTACTCAAAGATTGGGGCAGAGGCACCAAGAGCCATTACAAACAAAAGGTGATGGTCTCAGTAATCTGGTTCATTTGACTAACAATAAGAGAACAGGAACAGACAGGAACCTCTTGCTACACTTTGCTTAGTGTAATAATCATTTGTCTGATGTAATTTACCTTAAATGCTAAATACAATGTACTTCACCTTAGTTTTTCATGTGATGCTATGTCAGAACATAGGATCAGCATATTTTAAACAGATTCTTAAATTTGTAATCCCACATTGGTAACCAAACTTGACATCCATATTATTTTTTTCCATACTATTGAAGACAGTGGCTACCATTTACTTTTTGGCTATAAACCATTCTTCAAAATATCTTCTTTTGTGTTCAGCATAAGGAATAAAAAGGTTTGGAACAAAATGAGGGTGAGTAAAAAATTACAGAATGTTCTCATTATTTTCTCTTTTCTGTGAAACACAAAATGAGATCCGAACTGCCCTTTTTCAGTGTTTTATGGTGAATTATACTGTCAAACTCCAAAAAAGCACCAGAAAAACATCATAAAAAGAGTTCAAATGACTAGTGCATTACATTATACACTCTTATTAAAAATAACAGTGCTTCACGATGCCATAGAAGAACCTTTTTGTCTAAATGGTTCCATAAAGAACCTTTATCATCTGTTTCACAAAAGGTTCTTTGTGGCGAAAGAAGGTTCTTCAGATTATAAAAAGGTAAGAAAGAGATGGTTCTTTAAAGAACCTTTGACTGAATGGTTCTTTGTGGAACCTTCTATGGCATCGCTGTGAAGAACATTTTAAGCACCTTTATTTTTAAGAGTGTATGGTAGCTTTGTGTGAAAAACACTGAAATTTAAGTCATTATTCACATATAGTCATATATACTGTATATACAGTATATAGTGAAGGAGTCATTTTGTGTTTCATAAAAGATGTGAGATTGGAATAAAATAGAGGTCAGCAAGTCATCATTTTTAGATGAACTGCTCCGGTTTGCACTCCAATTCAATATCTCTCAATCTGGAACGTTCTCTAGTTCCTTATTATCCGTCTTCAAGCATCCCGACAGGTGCTGAGGTGTTCTCGTCATGGTTTATTCATTCATTTATTCATGCTCAGAGCTCTACGCTCACCCACGGTCAGCCTGTGGTCTTCCAGAAAAAGGCAGGTTGTGGTTTTTGAAGTTCCTGCTCAGTTCGGACAGGGAAGCTTTAGTGATGTTTCCTTTTCAAAGAGGGAGTTTTCGCTGCGCTGTAGCTTTGAAATGAAGGCCGTGCTGCCGACCGCTTTGAGTAATTCAAACAGACAACTCCTCTTTCAAGTTCAAGTTCAAGTCTGCTTTATTGTCAATTCTTCCACATCCTGAGGTCTTCCAGTCAGAAAGTCCAACAGCCAGTTGCACAGCGAAGTGTTGAGCCCCAGCTGGACCAGTTTGTGAATGAGCTGTTGAGGGATGATTGTGTTGAATGCTGAACTGAAGTCTATGAACAGCATTCTGACGTCTGACGTTTCATATAATCATTTGATTCAGCCCTTAACTGGAACGGTAGTATGATGCACTAATGGAGTCTAACAGCTGGAGTGACAGCGTGGGGCAGAATTTCAGTGCTGTGAACAGCGTCTCAGAGAAAGGCTGCGTTTCTTATGCTGTTTTTCATTTTGGGATGTAATTGTGATATAATCCACCTGATCTCAAAGAGAACTGAGAACTTAAGTGTGACACAAATTCGATATGCCAGTAATTATGCGTTGGAATTTGGGAGAGAAAACTCACTTATCTTTTGGATTTGACTGACCTCGTCCCAAAAGCTTGTTTGTGTAGATGTGAATGGGATACTTCATCATTTCTTCACCCTCATGTCGTTCCAAACCCAAAATGAGGATCTTTGGAAAATGTTCAAGTGGTTCTTTTCCATACAAGTAGAAGTTAACAGTGATTTATCCTGTCAGGCTGAATAAAAGATAAAAACTCCATAAAAGTGACTCATATGATAGCTTTGTGTGATGATGAACAGACAGAAATGTACGTCTTTGTTCGTCTCAGTTACTAAATAGCTTTCCAAGAAGAATAATCCTACTTTTCTTTCATGCTGCCTGCTCTTGAGTCTCCTTACCTGCTTAAAAGCAAAAAATAAAGGAAGGTTGTTAAAAAAAAAAAAAAGTACAATGCAAGTTAAAATATATAAAATCAAATGCACCCAGCTGATCAATTTGACGTTTCATTGCAAGATTTTTTTTTTTTTTTTGATGTTCACTTATTATTTTGCAATGTAATTTAACTGCCTTTTGAATGGTAATACAAATACAAAAAGAAATAAATTAAAAATAAATATTTATTTAAAAAATACTATTTCATCACAATACACTGAAAACCCACAAATAGAAGTATTTTATGCTCACCAATAAAGAATTTTTTAATAAAAATACAGTAATGTGAAATATTACAAAATGCAATAAATATGACAGAAAAGAATTGTTTTCTGTTTTTCTATATGTTATATGATATAATTTATTATTGTGATGGCAAAGCTGAATTTTCAGTCTTCACACAATCCTTCAGAAATCATTCTAATGATGATTTGCTGATCAAGAATTATGTCTTATTATTATCAATAGTAAAAACAGTTGAGCTACTTGTTTTTTTGCGTAAACTGTGATACTTTTTAAAGGATTATTTTATTAATAGAAGCTTCAAAAGTATAGCATTTATTTGAAATATAAATCTATTGTAACATTATAAATGTCTGTCACAATTCATCACTTTAATGCATCCTTGCTAAATAAATGTATCATTTTCAAACAAATAAATAAATAAACTATTACTTTTGAAAATTGGTGTGGGAAAATTTAAAGTAATTTTAAGTCATTTTTTCTTGGTTTTTTTTTTCTGTGACTGCCAGTAACTCTTATAGTAGCACTTTCTGCTCCATTTAACACATTTTAACATGCTTAAATGTTACACAGATTTTTCCCCATAATCAGTGTCGAAAAATGATTATTTGACAGAAAGTAACTGCTGTCTCTCTCTCTCTCTCTCTCTCTCTCTCTCTCTCTCTCTCTCTCCCCCCCTCCCTCCTCCACTCGCTCTGTCATTTCTTTCATTCTGACTCACTCCTTTGGGTCTATTTTTATACCTTCCATCTCTTTCTCTCTCTCTCCCACACTGTATGTACTTAATGCTGTGAGACTGAATGTATGCATATACAGTGAGTCTCAGAAGACGCAGGGGAAGCGATACATCACTAGTAGGGATCTAACAATTTATCATACTTTTTCTTTTGATGTTTATATAATTGTACTTCTCGATAAGCTTGTCAATCTTCTCTTCAGCTCGTTCAAGAGTTTGTGGCTGTAAACTACGAAGTGAGTGTGTGTGTGTGTGTGTGTGGGGGGGGCGGGGGGTGTTTGCAGGTACAGAGAGATAAATGTATGTATGTATGTTGTTATGCAGCGTAAATGTGCTCATATTTGTGCTGAGACTGATTAGAAACTGTCTGCATGTATGCAAATAAAACTTTTTTGAACATATTAAGGGTTGAATTCACTAAACTATTCGCTAATTAACCACAATTCAGCTTAACCACTGAAATCAAATCGACCTTGAGTATTTTAGTCATTAACAAACTTTTTTTTTTAATTAAGTTAATTTTAAATGGCTTTTTTTTCCCAAAAATGTTAGTACTCTATTCCAAAAAAAGACGCTGATGTTGTTCTCCATAAATCACAGAAAAAGGACTTCCGAAGAAACTTGACTTGTGTAATATCAAATGAAGTATACTGACCTCGTCATGTAGGAGTGTGATGTGAGCGTCTTCTCTCTCAGACCTGCTGTTCTTGCTCCCTCACAGGACTCGTCTGATGCAGAGCTTCAAAGAATCACACTCCCATGAGTCTTTGCTGTCTCCCAGCAGCGCAGCCGAGGCCTTGGATTTGACACTTGATGAAGATGCGGTCATCAAGCCTGTTCACTCCAGTATACTGGGACAGGAGTACTGCTTTGAGGTGATCTACTGCAAACTATATACTTCAGACTCAGAAGCTGCATGATCCTTACAGAATCTAACAGATGTTTATTAAAAATAGCATTACAAACTTAGTACAGTTCTGATTTTCACATTTAAATCTATCTATCTATCTATCTATGTATCTATCTATCTATCTATCTATCTACCTGTCTGTCTGTCTGTCTGTCTGTCTATCTATCTATATATCGTTCTATCTATCTATCTATATATCGTTCTATCTATCGTTCCATTGTTCTGTCGTTCTATCTATCTATCTATCTATCTATCTATCTATCTATCGCTCTATCATTCTGTCGTTCTATCTATCTATCTATCTATCTATCTATCTATCTATCTATCATTCTATGAAATGAAGAACAACGAATGAAATCTATGAATTTTCTGTCAGATTCACTTGGTGCCACTAGTGACATAGAAATCACACATTTCATCTTAAATCATCAAATGCATGACTATATTAACTCCAGTGCCCTGTGGCATTTTGTTGCTCTTTCTTATTATTATGGTTGAAATAGTGAAACTCATTATTCCTTTCCTTAGGTGATAACTGCTTCAGGAACAAAGTGTTTTGCCTGTCGGTCGGCTGCGGAGCGAGACAAATGGATAGAGAATCTGCAGAGAGCTGTCAAACCAAACAAAGTGAGTGTAAAGAAGAAAAAGAAAAGAGGAACTCTCTTCTTCCATGACTGCATCAGTCTACTCCAGTAACAACCTCTCCTGTCATTTCCATCTTTACATTCATTTTAGCTTCTACTGATATTTGTGGATTCCTGAATGAGCTTGAAAAGGCTTCCTGTGCTGGTCTGCCTTATAATGAAATAGATGCTTTCTTTTTTAATCTGGTATGCTTAGATAATATTTATCCAAAAGGCCAGTGCAGAATACTGGATCCTCCTGCAGACGTCTATTAGCTGTGTCTGTCTTGGGGGTTTTGAATGGGTGGGCTTTAGAAAGAGAGCGTTGTGGATTGACTCGTCCAGGTGTTCAGGCAGCAGGAGTTTGGGCTCAATCATGTTGCGTGGAGAACATGTCACGGGCGTCCAAAAATGATCAGCCCGCTCAGTCTCGCAACAGATGCATTGTCAATATTACAATAAACGAGGACAGACCAAGGGTGTTCATTAGTTTGGTTTATTAGCTGATTAGTTGAAGAAGCTTCTGAAGTTATAGACAAAAGCACAGATGTGCATCACTGATTAGTTCACAGCAAACCACTGAAGCACTCACTGACAAAAAACATTATTTGAACATATGGTACCATGATAATACCATGATTTTGGACATGTACCATAGGAATAACGTGTGTTAACCATAGTTTCTTTGACATAGTCACAGATGGCGTCACAATCTGTCCACTGACCGTCAAAATTGTAAAGTACAACTGGAATTACAACTAATCAGAATGAATTCTTAGCTTTTGGGATTCAGGTTGTGCAGGTCTTTACCAGTCCAACAGAAAACAAAATTGTGTTTATAAGGTACATTGTGAGCTTTATATGAATGTGTGAAGTCGTCACCATGTGTTCACTAATGCTTTGAAAGATATTCAAAGTTTTAAAGCGTTTAGTAGCAAGTAAACTATATCCACAATCAGTACTTTTTATTTGTTAAATATTAAGACATTATTATTATTATAATGTTAATAATGTAGTGTTAATATAAATATATTAATATTTTTATTATGAAGGTAATTTTATATTATTATTATTATTATTATAGGATGGGCATCATCAGATCATATATAAATATAAATACTATGAATGTAAATATATTCATAATACACATCATTTGTTCATATAATAATAATAATTGCTATTTATTATTTTAGGATGGATAGAAATTCAGATCATATATAAATATTAGAAATTTAAATGTATTATTATTATAAATAATACATATATTATTATAAATACAATACAAATATTAATATAAATATATTAACAGAAAAGTTACTTTATATTAATAATGATAATAATTATTATTATAATTACAATAATTGAGTTTGCTAATTTGCTATTTATTGTTTTAGAATAAACAGAATTTACAGATTGTTTTTTTCCAGCTGTATTTTCTGTACAGCTGTTCAGTGAATTTACATTATTTGAATGTTTTTCCACACAGTCTGTTAGTCTTCCAAACGTACAAATGTACCACTTCTAAACAGCATGTAAAAAGAACGAACTGTTATTGGTCGATTAATATCAGTCTGCCTTTGTATCTCTGAAGAACCTTGGTATATGAATATGGTAATCACTCAGTAACATGTTATATATCAGAATACCATAGTATTACCATCTGAAACCATGACTGTAGCATGTTATCGTCACTTTATTTTTTACTGAAAGGACCGGAGCTTTGGAAATCTGTTTTTCAGGGTATATTTAGTGCATCTATGATTGCCAGTAGAAAGTGGCATTTTGATGATTCTAATGACTCATCATTCTGTGAGACCGTCCGGCACTTTAGACACGCTGTAGGTGTTAGACTAACAGAAGTTCAGATCATTAAATCACTGCAGTCTCTGCTGTCTGTCTGCATGCTTGACGACACATTTGAAGATCTGCAACCCCCCTCACCACCCTCACCTGCAGTTTATATGGTGTGTTGGCTTTACCATCTGTGTTTCCCACACTCAGGACAACAGTCGACGCGTCGACAACGTTCTGAAGCTGTGGATCATCGAGGCCCGTGAACTCCCACCCAAAAAGCGCTATTATTGTGAATTGTGCTTGGATGACATGCTTTACGCCCGCACCACCAGCAAACCCCGAACCGATACTGTCTTCTGGGGTGAGCACTTCGAGTTCAACAACCTGCCAGCTGTCCGCAACCTCCGCCTTCACCTTTACAAAGAGACGGACAAGAAAAGACGCAAGGTACACTCTTTTGATAGATATAACTCAAAATTAAGACTTCAAGACTGTATGCATGCATATCAAATAAAATGTAAATATTGAAAAATATGTATTTTAAAAATATATATTTAAAAAATTGACTGATATATTTTATGCTAATATAAATTTAATTATATATA